CCTAAAAGAGAACAAGATTGGGGTCAGTGTGAGGCAAGTATTTGTGCTATCACTTCTCAAGATTTAATAAATAAAGTTATAATAATACAGATAATACAATTTGTTCAAGTATACATAAATAGATCAGCTAAACAGAATAGCTAATCCAGGAAGAAACCCATGCATACACAGAAACTTGATCTATGGTAGAGCTGGTTTTGTGGAAATATCATTCAATGAAGTAAAGTGAAGTGAAAGTCTGACTCTTTGGGACCCCATGGACTATACAGTCCATGGAATTCTCCAGGCAGTATACTGGAGTGGGTAGCCTTTCCCTTCTCCAAGGATCTTCCCAACCCAGGGATTGAACCCAGGTCTCCTGCATTGCAGGCGGATTCTTTACCAGCTGAGTCAGAAGGGAAGTCCCAGATCATTCAATAATTGGATCTAAAAAATTAATTATTCATACACAAAAAATAAAGTTGTATTTCTATCTTGAAGCATATACAAAATCTAATTCCAAGTGGATTACGGATTTAATTGCAAAAGCAAAACTATACAGAATTTAGTGAAACCTTACATATTATTATGAAACCAAGAAATAAAATGGGTTAAAATGCTAATTTAATGCAGAAGAAAAATTCCTCATGAATAAATGAAAACATGCTCCATAGTAATCAAGGAAAATGCAGATAAAAGAACAATGATGTGATTTCACATCTACTAGATGGAAAAGAATTTAAAAGTCAGATATTAAGTGTTGTAATGATATAACACAATGGGAACTTTCATCCACTGCCAGTATAGATGTAAATTTGGGCAACCTTTTACAAATCATTTAGAGGCTTCCCAGGTGGCACAGTGGTAAAGTATCTGCCTGTCAATGTAGGAGATGCAAGAGATGTGGGTTTGATCCGAGTCAGGAAGATTCTCTGGAGTGGGAAATAGCAACCCACTCCAGTATTCTTGCCTGAAAAATCCCATTGACAGGGGAGCCTAGCAGGCTACAGTCTATGGAGTCACAGAGATTCAGACACAACTGAGCAACTGAACACACACACAGGCATGACCTGGTAAAGTGGAACAAATGTATGCCCTATATTTAGCTAATTTATTTTTAGGTCTATTCCCTAGAAAAATCTTTATTTATGTACATTAGACTGGTAGTTTCCAAATTATTATTTCTAAATAATGTACATACAAATGACTGCAAGATCTTGTCAAAATGCAGATTATGATTCATAAGGTTTGAAACGAAGCTGAGATTCTTTATTTCTAACAAGTTCCCAGATGGCACTAGTGCTGCTGGTCCTTGGACCACATTTTGAGGAGCAAGGCACTATCTTGCAAATAAATGCATCAGCAGGAGAATAAGCAAAAATAGTTATATAATGAAGTACCATCAGGCAGGAACAATGTAAGAACTAAAGATTCTTGTTTAAACATGGATGAGTGTCAAAATTTGTAATGTTTAGAGAAAGAAGCAAGTCACAGATGAATGCTTATAATATGATTCAATTTAAATAACATTCAAAAACAAAACTAAACAATTTATTACCATTATATATTGTTGGTAAACTATAAAAAGTGAAGAATCTATTATATAGTTTTCAGGATAGCAGTTAACTCTTGAGGGATAGGATGTGATCAGTAGGGGCATAAGAAAGAAAGTGAAAGTCACTGAGTCATATCTGACTCTTTGCAACCCAATGGACTGTATGTAGCCCAGCAGGCTCCTCTGTCCATGGAATTCTCCAGGCAAGAATACTGGACTGGGTTGCCATTCCCCTCTCCAGGGGACCTTCCAGCCCCAGGGATTGAACCTGGGTCTCCTGCATTGCAGGCTGATTCTATACTATCTGAGCCACCAGGGAAGCCTAAGCAGATTCTAACATGCTGGTAACATTCTATTGTTCACTTGAGTGATGGATACATGGGTATTAGTCACTGATGGTTCCCATGATCACCCCTTGGGGAAAGAGACAGTAGTCTTTTGGTTACAGAGGCAGAATCTATTCTCCAATGAAGTGTTACCATGGACTTTTATTCCCAAAGTTTCCCTTTTCTGTTTCTAAGTTGGTTCAAAACTGACAGAGGGAAAGCTGGTGATTGGCATGTCTTAAATTCCCAACAAGGACAGAAACCTGCCAGTTTCATTAGTAGCAGAGACTTAATTCTTGTTTCTTGGTAAGGCTCTGGGAGAGTGGTCATAAATCAGAGAGGAATGGGTAAATGTGTCCTGTTGGTGGGGCTTGCTGAAATCTAGTGATCAGATCTTTCAATTCAAAGATTGTACATAAACTGCAGGGCCATCTGACTTTAAGGGACCATGTGAACCAGAATAATCAAACTATCAGCCAAAACCATGCTTTACCAAAGACATAAATATTCTCATAGGTTAGGTTTGGGTCATATGCCAATACTCAATATTCTCTGTGGCCAATGAATATGGGGTTGTAAAGGTGCTATGCTGTGCTTTGTCACTCAGTCGTGTCCAAATCTTTAAGACCCCATGGACTATAGTCCGCCAGGCTCCTCTATCCATGGGGATTCTCAAGGCAAGAGTACTGGAGTGGGTTGCCATACCCTCCTCCAGGGGATCTTCCCAACCCAGGGATTGAACCCAGGTCTCCCACATTGCAGGTAGATTCTTTACTGACTAAGCCATCAGGGAAGCCCAAGAATATGGAGTGGGAGCCTATCCCTTCTCCAGGGGATCTTCCCAACCCAGGAATCAACCTAAGGTCTCCTGCACTGCAGGTGGATTCTTCATCAGCTGAGCTACAGGGAAGCCTGGTTGTAAAGGTAGTACCACATAAATCAAATGAAATTAATAATTTCACCACAAAATAGAGGGAGGGATACTTCCCTCAAAGAAAGTGATGTTAAGCAGATAAAAAGAGTTAAGTACATTACAGTCATCTAGAAAGCAGGGACCATATAAGACAGTTCCTTATACCCTATCCAGTGCTTAGGATATGCTTTGACTATAATACTAAAAAAAAAAAAAAAAAAAAAGAAAGAAAACAACTCTGATTCATTGATATACTTTAGTTATTGAATGATTTTATAATACAATTAATTATTTTTTCTTGTACCAGTTTTTCCTTCTTAGTTATATCCTTCATCATCATGTTAAAGAGGGTTTGAAGAGCTATCTAAAAAACTAAGAGAGTCCTTTTGGAATATAATATGTATAGTGGAAACAAAAGAAACCTGTAATCTGAAAAACCAGAGCCAATTTCCAATGCTATCTTTTAGTAGCTACATATATTTTTCCAAATTATTTAACCTACCCAAGCTTACATTTTCCCATTTATAATAAAGATAATAATGCTGACATTTAACTGGTTATTATGAAAATTGACAAAGCTGATTTACGCGAAGTATGATCACATAGAAGCAGTATATGTTCAGATAGTGGTTGCTATTGTTATTTTTTGGAGAAGTGGCAACCCGCTCCAGTATTCTTGCCTAGAAAATTCCATAAACAGAGGAGCTTGGTGGGCTACAGCCTATGGGGTCTCAAAGAGTCAGACACGACAGCTTACACATACACATATTGTTATTTTTATTGTTTGTTCTTCAATATTAGTTGGGTAGTACATTTGAGGATAACTTAAAGTGAAAGTGAAGTCGCTCAGTCATGTCCGACTCTTTGCAACCCCATGGACTGTAGCCTACCAGGCTCCTCTGCCCATGGGATTTTCCAGGGAAGAATACTAGAGTGGGTTGCCATTTCCTTCTCCAAGGTATCTTCCTGACCCAGGGGTCAAACCCAGATTTCCTGCATTGCAGGCAGATGCTTTACCATCTGAGCCACCAGGGAAGTCCAGGGGATAACTTAATTGGTGAATAAAAACTTATATGGAAATTATAATGTAGATAATTCATTTGTGGTTAATTAAAGCTAAACCTTTGACTGTGTGGATCACAACAAACTGTGCAAAATTCTTAAAGAGATGGACATACCACACCACCTGACCTGCCTCCTAAGAAATCTGTATATAGGTCAAGAAGCAACAGTTAGAATCAGACATAGAACAACAGACTGGTTCCAAATCAGGAAAGGAGTACGTCACGGCTATATATTGTCACCCTGCTTATTTAACTTATATGCAGAGTACCTCATGAGAAATACTGGGCTGGATGAAGCACAAGCTGGAATCAATTGCCGGGAGAAATATCAATAACCTCAGATATGCAGATGACACCACCCTTATGGCATAAAACAAAGAATAACTTAAGAGCCTCTTGATGAAGGTGAAAGAAGAGAGTGAAAATGTTGGCTTAAAACTCAACATTCAAAAAACTAAGATCATGGCATCCAGTCCCATCACTTCATGGCAAATAGATGGGGAAACAATGGAAACTGTAAAAGACTTCATTTTGGGGGGCTCCAAAATCACTGTAGATGGTCACTGCCTCCATGAAATTAAAAGACACTTGTTCCTTGGAAGAAAAACTATGACCAACCTACAGAAAATGTTATAAAGCAGAGACATTACTTTGCTGACAAAGGTCTGTTTAGTCAAAGCTATGGTTTTTCCAGTAATTATGTATGGATGTGAGAGTTGGACTATAAAGAAAACTGAGCACCGAAGAATTTATGCTTTTGAACTGTGGTATTGGAGAAGACTCTTGAGAGTCCCTTGGACAGCAAGGAGATGCAACCAGTCCATCCTAAAGGAAATCAGTCCTAAATATTCATTGGAAAGACTGATGCTGAAGCTGAAGCCCCAATACTTTGGCCACCTGATGCAAAGAACTGAATCATTTGAAAAGACCCTGATGATGGGAAAGATTGAAGCAGGAGGAGAAGGGGATGACAGAGGATGAGCTGGTTGGATGGCATCACTGACTCAATGGATATGATTTTGAGCAAGCTCTGGGAGTTGGTGATGGACAGGGAAGCCTGACATGCTGCAGCCCTTGGCGTCTCAAAGAGTCAGACATGACTGACTGAACTGAAAGCTAAATACTCTTAAAATGCATTAATTACCTTCTTTTGCATTACTTACATAGCCTTATAATACCATAGAAAGCAAATATGAGAACTTTCCACAGATAAATAGCGTTCTTCCTCTAAATCCTAAAAAAAAAAAAAAAAAACTATGATAAATTTAGATGACTGATTGTTTCTATTTGTCTTTGTGAAATTATATATATGTCATGTGTATATATATATATATATATATATATATTTGCCCAAGTACCTGCTAATATTTGGTTTTTGACCCTTATTCCTGACACATGCTAACACTTTTGTAATTCTGAGTAATAGGAATGTCTCACACAGAGCTCCTAAATTCCTTTTGTTCTAATGAGGTAAACTCTTGGTGGGCTCCTGATTGGGAACTGATCACTAGAAAGACCAATCCATAATTAACAGCTTGGAACTTTCAGTTCAGCCTCCCATTCTATGGAGAGGGGAGAAGGGGTGGAAAATGAGCTAATAATCAATCATGCCTACTTGATGAAATCTCCACAAAAATCCCTAAAGCATGAGAGTCAGAGAACTTCTAGGTTGATGCCAGCAGGTGATGTAGCCAACTCCACAGTGACAGAAGTTCCTACACTCAGAACCCTTCTGGACCTTACCCTGTATACTTCTTGACCTGACTGTTCATCTGGATCTTTTTACAATATCCTTCATTTTAACTGGTAAATGTGTTTCCCTGAATTCTTCAAGCTGTTTAGCAAATTATCGAAACTAAGGAAAGGGTTATAGGAACCTGAATTTACCACCCGTCATCATCAGTCAGTCAGAAGTGTAGGTGACAACCAGATGCAATTAGCATCTGAAGTGAGGGCAGTCTTGTGGAACTGAGCCCTTAACTTGTGGGATGTGACGTTAACTCTAGGTAGATGGTGCCAGAACTTTAAATGTTAAGACACCCAGCTGGTATAGGAGAATTGGTCCATGTTGAACCTCTCCCCCGCTATGATCTGGTCACAGAATTGTCCTCTGTGAATATACAAAAGAAAACAGTGAGTTTTCCTAGGCGGTCTTCCTCAATGAAACACAATTTGATTAATTTTCTGTTTAACGGTTCTCAACCAGAGATGAATTTGCTTGCAAGGAGATAGATGTCTGACAATGCCTGGAGATATTTTAGGTTGTTATAACTGAGGACTGTTGAGTATATTAAGTCAGTGTGTGTGTGTGTGTGCGTGTGTGTGTGCGTGTGTGTGTGTGTTAGTCATTCAGTTGTGTCCAGCTCTTTGCAACTGTAGCCTGTCAGGCTGCTCTGTCCATGGAATTCTCCAGGCAAGATTACTGGAGTGGGTTGCCATTCCCTTCTTCATGAGATCTTTCCCATGTAGGGATCGAACCCGGTCTCCTGCATTGCAGGCAGATTCTTTACCATCTGAGCTACCAGGGAAGCCCCATTAAGTCACATGTACCTCCTTAAAGAGTATAAGGCCTGATAACACTGTATATAAATGACAAAGATTCCTATATATATGTGTATATTTGTGTGTGCATATTTTTTACATGTATTACACATTTATGTAGACTTCCAAAACATAACAAAAGGGAAAGAAATCCTTTACTTCTTTAGGAATTGTGTCATGAAACTGGCAAGCACTCAACTCAAAAAGCCAAATTCAAGTATTTTTCAATCTATAGGAATTGAAAAATGAATTACTATATTCATCTGGCCTCTCCCACATCACCCTGTCTACCTCTTCCCTGAAAATAAAGATTATTAAGTAAAAAGAAAGCAACAGAACTCAGGGAAATAATTAACTTACAAAAAAAAAAAGTAAAAAGAAGGCACAAGTCCCAAAGTGAAGGCAGGATTTGTCACACAAAGTCTCTGCACAGCAATGACTTTAGATACGCTTGTGTGGGAACTTCAACTATTAGTACTTTGCTACTAATTAGTACAGTGCCAATGCTTAAAATTCATTATTATTATTATTGTAAACTAGAGAGGATTCAACAACACTCATTTATTTGCATTCACACAGCTTTCTTGAACTGAAGAAAACGTAGTGGAATACAAATAAACCTGCTAGAAATGGCTCTTAGTTCTGAGTATTGTCATAGGAGTATGTGATATTAGTCCCACTTAGCTGGGAGTACTATTATCATTACAATGGTTAACTGGGGCTTTAATATATTTACTGATAAAAAAGTGAATGTAAAAATCACATGTGATAGTCCCCTCTTATCTGTGAGATATGTATTCCAAGACCCCCAGAGGATGACTGAAATTGTAGGTAGTACCAATCCAACCCTATATATACTGCTTTTTTTGTACATACATACCTAATATAAAGTTTGATTTGTAAAGTAAGCCCAGAAAAATATTGATGATAATTAATAATAAAATAACTACTTCAATATGATCTTTCTTCTTTCCTCATTAAGTCAAAAACTTTCACCTTTTCACTTAAAGGAAATACTTTATGGCTTCTTTGGCATATCTGAATTGCCAGCATCACTGTTCTTGTACTTTGGGGTCATTATTAAGTAAAATTAGGATTACTTAAACACAAGGAGTACAATATTGTAATTAATAGGTGTGATAACTGGGAAAGCTATTAAGTAACTAATGGGTAGGACATGCTGGACAAAGAAATGATCCACATCTCGGGGAGATGGAGCCGGACTGCAAGATAATTCATCATGCCACTCAGAATAACTGCATTTTAAAGCTTGTGAATTGTCTATTTCTAGAATTTCTCATATAAATATTTCAGACTATAGTTGACCATGGCTAACTGAGAGTACAGAAGGTATAATCACAGATAAGAAGGGGACCACTGTATCAGTTCATAACTTAACAATTTGCTATGAGATATTTCTAAAAATTAATGATATACTGATAATAATTTTTAAATACCTCATTTATAGTTGCAACTTTACCATTTAAAATGGGTTAAATTAAGTCAAAAACCTCAAAAAAAAAAGACAAAATAAAATGTAACAGGGATGATTATTCAAGATTCACTAATATATCATTTAAATCAACTTACTGGGCCTGAAACAATTGGTTTTATAGCATGAATACCAGGAGAAGAACATCGTAGTTCTGTCTTGGGTGATCTAGCATTTAAAAAAAAATGTAAAAGGAGAAATAAGTATAGATGCATATGAGATTCCCCTACAACTTTTTAAGCCTAAAAACTTCCATTGTATGCTAATAAGAAAAATTAAAAATATAGCAACATTTTACTTCTATTTTCAAAGTGATTTTTGTCTTTCTTTTCACATCTATTTAATGAAAATAAATTTACATTAAATCACTGCCTTGAATCTGAATGTCTATACTATATGAATTTTTTTTACACATACATTGATTTTCACAGCAAAAAAATCTTACCTTTTATTTTTTATAGAACAAGTTGCTGGAGCACTCCACTCAGAAAATAATGTTCCTTCATACTCTAACTTAATCTGAAAAAGAAGGTAAAATTTCTCAAACAAAAAAACTGCTCCAAAATTTTATATGTCAATATTTAGATGTACAGCTCAATTTTCTGAGTCTCTTATTGTTTAAAGAAAGAATAACTAAAATTCAATTCCTTTAAAATTGTACAAGTATTACGACAAGGGAAAAGTAACTTCTATATGTCACTTCAATAGTCTCCCCCAAACTGTAGTATTTTTATTTTATTTTACTTCAAAAATAATCTATTAAGTGTCTAGAAGGTGTTTAGTATCATAATTTTCTTCAGTCACAGTTTCTTTATTTCCTTACTTCTACTTTTTTCCTGCTTCTACATTCTTTCATTTATAAGTTCTTTCTTCCTGGAAGTATATCACACACTTCCTAACATCATCAGTCTTAGTCTCAACACTGGTCCTCCTCCTCAGCCAGATCTGGAGCCCAATTTCACCTTCTAATATTGTTACAGAGAAGTTATGTACATATGTATACATCATTATGTAGATATATACATACATAAATGCTGTTTCATTGTTTTTACTTGTAAAATGGGAATTATAATACCACCTCATAGATTTGATGTTATAGGATTAATGACAGTGTATAAGAAGAAAAAAGTTCACCAGAAAATAGGACACAACCCTAAAGTATATAAAGCAAAATTTGATAGAGTTACTAGAAGATATTTTAAGTCATATATATAGTGGTGGACTTTTAACACACATAGATTAAAGCCATAGATTAAACTTGAAAAAAAAGATAATTATAGTTGACCCTTGAACAATTCAGGGATTCGGGGCACTGACGCTCCACACAGAGGGAAATCTGCCTATAATTTATAGTTAGGCTTCTACACATGCAGTTCTTCCGTATCTATGACTCCACATCCACAGGTTCAATCAACTTTGGATTGTGTAGTACTTCAGTATTTACTATTGAAAATATCTTTGTATAAGTGGGCCAGTAGAACTCAAACCTATATTGTTCAAGGGTCAATCTGTGTGTGTGTGTGTGTGTGTGCATGTGTGGGTATTTCTAAAATTGACCAATAAAAAATACATTCTTTTCTCACATAGATCATTTACCAAAACTGACCACATTTACAAGGGAAGTGCTAGCCAGTCTCAAAGTATTATTATCATGCCTACTATACCCTTGATACTAGTGAAATAAAATTATAATTTCTTATAAAGTGAATCAGAAACATATCTTAGGATATTCTTAATTTAAAAAAAATTGTACTTCTGAATTATTCATGGAATAAAATAGAAATCACAATGAAAATTACACAGTGTTTATGAAAAAACAATAAAAGCATTGATGTTATCAAAACTTGAAGCATGTAAATAGGTCCTAATGAAAATGAATACCCTTAAAAGAAATAAGGTAGTTTGAAAGTGAATAAACTCAGTTTTCAGTATAAGATGCTAATACAAAAACCTGTGAGAGAACCCCCAAAAGTAAAAAGAAAGATATAAGAGAGAAGAAAAATGGGAATTTACAAAAGAAAATAAATTGGGATGGGTTAGTGGTGAAGTAATGTTTTAATCTACTCAAATTTCTTATAGACACAGAAAGAACAATTAGTATAGCAGCAAAAAGAAAAAAAAAAACACTGGACAGCATCAATAATAGAATTCAGTGACAAGGTATCCTGCAAAAACCCCAAATAAAATTGGGATGGAACAAACCAGCTGAAACTAGCAGATTCGTGTGATAACAGCATAAGAAAATAACTACGGTAGACCTTAGAAGAAAACACCTCAATCATTACAGGTATTCAGTAGACACCATAGAACAATTTGAGGATATAACCAGAGGGATTTTTATATTTTTCAGTTTCTACATAAGTCTCTGATAACGTCTGAAAGGGCAAGAGGAGGTGGGATCCATGAACTCCAAAGTCAATGAGCCAAAGGCCTCTTCTAGAATAGAGATCCATAACCAAAACACAAGGAAAAGAATACCAACTGAGCTGGAAAGGGACAATAAGAACAAAGGAAAGGGAAACAGCAGATACATGAGGCAGGGAAATAGAATCTGGGGAGCTAAGAAAGTATTAGCCTTATTTCTGAACACTCTATGGAACAACATAAGAGGTAACTCTAAAGCCATGAGGTTAGAAAAGTTATTTTGACCCACCACTTCTTCCTTAAAGAGCAGGAAAACCAATTTCATGCTTTAAAAAACTGAGCAACAGAAAGAGGATCGTGCTCAAATCACACACAATTATAATAAGAAAAAGAAGAGAGTAAGAAGCAGAAAAACACCTCTATAAGACCACACTCAGTAAATACTTTCTTTTTGATTTGGTCACACCACGTGGCTTGCAGGATCTTAGTTCCCCAACCAGGGATCAAACTTGTACCCCCTGTAGTGGAAGTATGAAGTCCTAACCACTGGGATCTCCAGGTAATTCCCCTCAATAAATAAATTAAAACTATAACTTAATATAAGGGTTAGTTTTATGTGTCAATTTGGCTAGATTATAGTAACTAGTTATTTAATCAAATGCTAATATAGGTTTTTATATGAATGTATTTTATAGATGCGGTTTACATCTACAATCAGTTGACTTTAAATAATGACTTTGATGAGGTAGGTGAGGCCCCTTTTGATCAGCTGGATCCTTCAGGGCAAAAATGAAGGTTTCCTAGAGAAGAAATTCTGCTACAAGACTACAACATCAATCTCTTGCCTGAATTTCCACCCTCTGGCCTGGCCTAAAGATTTAAGATTTGTCAGTTCCCACAATCACATGAGCCAATTTCTTAAAATGAATCTAATATAAATATGTATAAATTCTATTGGTTCTGTTCCTCTGGAGAGTTATGACTGATATGCCTATTTCAAGATGAGGCAAAATAAAAGATAATAGAAATTATAAAAGAAAAATATAAAACAGAATTTAAAACTCATAAGCTAAACTCAGCAAAATGTACAAATAAAAAGTCAATTTAGAAAAAAACTAAATTAGCACAATTGTGAATAAACCTAATAAATAAGGTTTTGAGAAAAATAGAAGGCTTTTAAAAATAAAGAGATAAAAAGTGACTCAAGAATAAGTGACAAATGTTAAATATGGGCAAAGAAAATCCAATATATACACACTTGGGAAGAAGAAAACATAAGCGATTGAGACAGAAAAATAGCATTAACAATAACTCAAGAATAACATGTGAACAAAAATAACTTGAAACAATGTACTGAAAGGACAAAATTCATACATAGGAAAAACAATTACGAATGATTTTTTTTTTAAAGACCAACCTAGGACCTATATTAATAAAAGCATTGAAGTTGATAAGAAACATTTTGGGGATCCTGACAAAAAGAACAATTTATTCACAAGGGAAAGAAAATTAGATTTCCAGTAGACTTTTCAGAAACAACACTTTATGTCGAAGACAACAAAGTAACATATATAAAAGGACATAAAAATATTAGCCATAATTTTTGTATCCAGATACACAAACTTTTAGATAAAAGTTCACAGATAAGGTCTTATGACCATAAAACAACTCAAGAAATATTGCTTTTAAGAGACCTTCTTAAGGAAACTATCCGAAAAAGAGATTCAGATCCCCAAAATGACCGCAGAGACATCAACATAAGGACTGGTGTTAGGTATTAAATAGGAATTATTCTTCAGAAATATGTCTACATGGTGGCTATTAAAAAAGGAATATAGTAGCTAATGACAATACTCTGACAGTGTATCAGCATATGAGTGGTAGTTGAATTATGGTTAGCCCAGGTAATAGTGGTCCAAAGAGTTCAATTCTCTCCACACATTTCCCCTCAAAATACACAGATCAAAACAGAAATTTTTAAAAAATAGAAAAAATACACAGATCAAAAAAATAAAACCAAGAAAATTCTATATTACAGTATAACTAGATGACAAAGTACAACACAAACTTCAAGAAACTTCTTGGTAAAAAAACTAAAAACTTTCAGCAGAGCTCTCACTCAAGTCGCTGTCATAATCCTTTGTGTACAGTAAAAGAGCTTCTGAAAAACTGCAGAAAAAAGGAACAAAAGTTTAAGACTGAATTTAAATCAACCAAAGAAAGTACACTGTTAAAAAAAATATATACTGCAGAAAGACTCCTGGAAGATCAGAATACTGATTATGAGGAAAAGAATTAAAAGTGTGTGAGTTGAGGTAGGAGCCTCAGAAAGGCATCACTTTTGGAGAGACGATAAAGGAGAGACACTCTTTGGAAAGTGAGTGGTGAAGGGAAAGAGAAGCAAGAAAGAGAAATGTAGGGTATTAAAAGCTAAAACAAACAAACCTCAAAGTAAACACAGCACCCTCAATAAGAAGCCATCAATTAAAGAAACTGCACTTTGCTACAATGAGCTAAGAAAGCAAACTAATTAGAAGTCTCTTAAAACAAAGCAAGCTGCTAGCCTGTCCATGTAATTCATAGATATAAGCTGTCTATATGAGGACAGAAAATGAAAATAAAGACATTTCGGTTAATAAAACTGCCTTAAAAAAAAAAACACAAAGCAGAAGAAAACTACAAACTAACAAACGAACATTCTAAACTAAATATTCTCAAACAAGTATTTAATGGTGAGAATGAATAACATGAATTATAAATTCACAAACTAGGGACAGAAATGAACCAAATAGAAGTGAGTTGATGGAACTAGGAAATGAAACAGATAACTATAAATGAAATGAGGACTAACTTAAAATAATGGGAGATTATGTTTGAACAAAAACTGAATAAAAGGCATTGAATAAAGACAGAAAAGCAACCAAGAGAATATAAATGAAAGAAGTAAAGAACCAGAGAGAAAATGATTGATATGGAAATTAATATGGAAGGCAAACAAAAAAACAAAAATCCAGCACTTGTATAACCGGAGTCTGTGAAATTGAAAAGCAAAACAACGGGAAAAGAAGTAATATTTATATTTGGTTTGTCTTTTTATTACTGAATTATAATTGTTCTTCATATATTCTTGGTACAGGTCCCTTATCAGATATTTA